TCCTCATCGGAGACCACGGCACACAGGAAACGCCTTGCCTTTCAAGTGCTGAATGAAGACAACTGCTGACCCTGAATCCTATACCCCACAAAAACATCCTTGGGAAGGAAGGAGGCAGAAAGACATTCTTAGAAGAAGGAAAACAAAAACATTTGTTACCAGAAAACCTACCACAAAAGACAGGCTATAGGTGTTCCTGGGGTAAAAAATTTTAAGAAACTGTTAATGGAAGACCCCTCGGATTTTAAGAAGGAAGAAAGAACAATGTAATGAGTAAAAGTAAACAGATTGTGCTTCTGATGAGTTTTGCAAAAGTTTGCAAAAGTGCTTTGACAGCTGAAGCAAAAAAAAAAAAATCATCCGATATGGTGCTCAACATACAAAAAGGAAATACTGAAGACAGTTATATTAAAGAATGGGGAATGTAAACGTACCCAATGGAAGTAAGTGTCTACATGTAAAGGTGCTAAAATGTTGATACTGTACACTCTGAAAAGTTAAGTATGTACAATACAATACCAAAAGTAACCACTAAAAAATGACATATACTCAAAAATGTCACAGATATATCAAGTGGAACTCCTAACATTAAAGTAACTCAAAAGAAGGCAAAACAAACAAAAAGTAGCCCCCAAAACCAAACAACAGGGCAACAAAAACCAGGTAACAAAAACATCATAAAATGGTAATTGTAAGCCCAAAAATATCAATAATTATTTTAAACTTAAATGACCTAAACATACCGAGTTTTAAAAAGAAATCAGTAAAATGGACATTAAAAAATGAGGCGGCTGCTGCTGCGGCTGCTAAGTCACTTCAGTCGTGTCCGACTCTGTGCGACCCCATGGACTGCAGCCCACCAGGCTCCCCCGTCCCTGGGGTTCTCCAGGCAAGAGCAGTGGAGTGGGTTGCCATTTTCTTCTCCAGTGCATGAAAGTCAACAGTGACAGTGAAGTCAGCCAGTCGTGTCTGACTCTGTGCGACCCCGGGACCCCACCAGGCTCCCCCGTCCCTGGGGTTTTAGTACTGGAGTGGGGTGCCATTGCCTTCTCCAAAAAAATGAGGCAAGTATATGCTATTCACAAGAGTCACATATTACATTGCTTGAAACGTAAGAATATAGATAAGGTTGAAAATGTAATTATTATGGAAATATATCACCATGCAAACATTAACCAAAAAACTCAATAGTGAGTACATTAATATCAGATAAAGTATACTTCAAAGCAAAAAAATTTCACACGAGCAAAAAGAAAACAGAGAATAAAGATAAAAGGGTCAATATGTTAGGGGAAGCACACTGATTGAAACCACCCACCCTGGCCAGGCACCATAGTAACCATTTGCATGAGTTGTTTTATGACAGGAGATCCTGATAAGGAATACAGAACTAATAAGCCACCACCAACCGAAGAGTTTGGGAAACGTCAAAAGGAGACACTGCGTGTCCGTCCATTTCCAAGAATCCCTCTCCTTGCATCCATCTTGGCTGAGCGATGCATGCGCCACCAGGAAAGACTCTGAATTAGAATGATTGGCCAGACTACCCGGAAACTAATCCCATCACCATAAAACCCAAGACTTCGAGCCACGGGGCAGAGCAGTTCTCCTGGTTTCCCTTACCTACTGCTCTCCACCCGGGTGCCCTTTCCCAATAAAATCTCTTGCTTTGTCAGCATGCGTCTCCTCGGACAATTCATTTCTGAGTGTTAGACAAGAGCCCAGTTTCGGGCCCTGGCAGGGGTCCCCCTTCCTGCAACAAATACACCAAGATAACATAGCAATCCTAAATGCGTCCGTACCAAGTAACAGAGCTTTGAAAAACATGAAGTGAAAACTGATAGAACTTAAAGGAGGAAGAGACAATTCTAGAATTAAACTGCAGGACAATACCCCCATTCTCAGTTATTGATAGAAATTCGAGGCGGGAAAAAAACAAAGAAAATCAGAAAAACATCATCAATGAACAGGATCTGGCACACACATATATAAGCTCCACCCAATGACAGTAAGATACACATTCTTTTCAAGCAGCCTTACTGAACATTCAAGATAGACTATATCTTGGGTCATAAAACAAACCACAACAAATTTAAATAGCCAAATCAAATATAAAACAAATGAAATCAAAAACAAGAATAAAGCACAAAATACTCCAAACACTGCAAAATTAAGCAACATACTTCTAAATAATCGACGGGTCACACAGATAGTGTCGAATAAAGAAATAATTAGAACTGAATGAAATGTAATTACAACATAATAAACTACAACAGTACCATGAGGGAAATTTATAGAATTTAATGCTTATATTAAAAAACTGAAAAAAAATCCTCAAATCAATAACCTAAGCACCCACCTCAAGCAACTGCAGACGAAAATAGTACCAAAGCAAACAGAAGCAATGATGTAATAAGGATCAGAGAGGGAAAAAAATCAGTGAAATTTGGAAAAGACAGAGGGAAAAATGATATAAAGTGCTGGTTTTTTTAAATGATTTCAAAAACTGATAAATGTCTAAGAAGACTGACAAACATAAAAGAGAATGAACATATTTCTAACATCAGGAATAAAATATGGGTTATAAATACAGAGTCTACTGCCATCAGAATGATAATAAAGGAACACTTTAAACAAATAAGAACATTTAGATGAAATGGGACAATTTCTAGAAAAAGATAAACTGTAAAAATTTATCTGATATGAAATAGAAACTGAAGAGTTCTATACATATTAAATAAAATAAATAAGTAAATAAGAAGCATTCAAAAGAGAACTCTTCAAGACTATATGGTTCACTGGAGAATGCTATCAATCATTAAAAGAACACACCAAACCGATTCTATACTATACACTGTCTTTTGAATAGAACACCTCTTAACACATGTTAGGTGGTCAGAATCACCTAGACCCCAAAACCAGACATTGACAATGGACAAAGAAAGAAAAAAATATATATATATTTTAAAACGTACCACTGTCACTCATGAAATGAGAGGAAAACTTCAACAAAATACCAGCATATTAAATACAGTAATATATATAAAAATAACTGTACTCCATGACCAAGTAGGGCTTATTCCAAGGATACAAGCCTGGCTCAACATTCAAAACTCACATAAACATAATATATAACAACAGGCTACAAAAGAAAAAAACACAAGATTCTATCAGTTGATTAAAAAAAAACCATTTGACAAATTCAACACTCATTCACAGCAACAAAAAATTCTCAGCCAATTAGGAATATGGGAAACTTTCTAAACTTGATAAAGAAAGCTCTATGAAGAAAACCTTACAACTAACACCACAGTTTAATGATGAAAATCTGGATGTTTTCCCCCTACTATCAGGAACCAGCCAAGGACATGTTTTCTCACTACTAGTATTCAAAATCATATTGGAAGTTCTAGCTAGTGCAATAAGACGAGAAAAGGAAATGACAGGTATACAGATGGGAAGAAAGAAAGAAAACTTCTCTATTTGCAGAGGATATTTCTATGTAGAAAATCCAAAGCATTCTATCAAAAGAAAGAGCAAGATTGTAGGATGTGAAAAATATATATATTTCTGTATACTAATAAAGACTCTATGGAAGCTGAAAATTCAAAAATCAATGCAATCTAGAATTACTAACAACAAACAAACAAAAAAACCCATGTCTATATATAAATCTTATAAAAACTGTAGAGGACCTATTATTGAGACTTATTAAGTAATAATGAAATAAATCAAGAGATAGCAAATAAATATACAGAGATAATACATTCATAAACTGGGAAAAACCCAAAACAGCAAAGATGCTGACCCTAAACATCTTAATTTGCCAATTTAACTCAATTTCTTTCAAAAGTCAGTAATTTTGCTAGTAAAAACTTAACAGAAAACTTTACATGGAAATTCAAAATAATGAGGATGCTAAATCAATTTTAAATAAGAAGACTGACATTTTAAATAAGAAGACTGAACTGGGTAAAGAGGAATCACTTTACCCAATTAAAAGACTTACCATATAATTAAAGAAATCAGTAAACCAGGATTATTACAGGAGCAGAAAACATCTGAGTGTTAGGTCGTTAAAAACATGAAAAACAGGTTTGTCTTTAAAAAATCAAAGCCTAAATAGTCTTAAACGGTGCAAAAGAACATGACCGTTCATATGTGAATTCTTACCTACTTAAATATAAAGGTATTTAGTGGCTCAAACCAAAATTTAAGCTCCTTAAGAACAGAGACAATGTTTTAGGACAAAGATGTTTGATGAAAGGTTCCAGACCTAACTCACCTTACACTGGTTAGCAATGAATGTATACACAAGACACATAGTATAGGTTCTTTACCATGGAAACAAAATGCGCTTCCTACAAGTTAACTAAGGAATGAATCTATGACAAAGTGCCACAGTTTGGCAAGGAAGTCTGAAAGAAACTTTTTTGCAGTTCATTTTCTAAGTCTCTCCCTTCCGTTTTTTAAAAACATTCCTGAGATAATACTGAAATGTAAACTAAGAAGAAAGATGGAGCTAAAGGTTTCCCGAAGTGCATAATAACCACTGGGTGTCTCTCCTTGATGAATTCTCAGGTGCAGAATAAGGCTCTTGGTTGGGGCAATTTCCAGTATAACTCTTTAGATGACAATTAATATCCTGCAATAGTTTTTTTCACAGGGAAGAAAACTGTGGGGTTTCTCTTTGGTATGAATGATCAGATTCTGAGTAAGTTGTTTCTTCCGGCAAAAGATTTTCCTCAGTGGTTACATTCATAAAGTCTTTCCCCAGTAAGAGTTCTTGAAGGTTGACTGAGGTTTGCCCACTTGTAAAGGGTCTTCCCACTTCTGTCACACTGATGGGGTTTCTGCCAGTATGAACCCGCTGGTGCTGAGTGAGGGACGAGCTGCGACTGAAGGCCTTTCCACACTCACTGCACTCATAGGGCTTCTCTCCAGTGTGGATGATGGAGTGTCGAATGAGGTTTGTGCTCCAGCAGAAGGTCTTCCCACACTCCATGCATTCATAGGGCTTCTCTCCACTGTGAATCCGCTGGTGTCTGGTGAGGCCAGACCTGCGGTTGAAGGCCTTCCCACACTCCGTGCACTCATACGGCTTCTCTCCAGTGTGGATGCTGAAGTGCCGAATGAGGTCTGCCCGATTGCTAAAGGCTTTCCCACATTCTTTGCACTCAAAAGGTTTCTCACCAGTGTGGGCTCTTTTATGTAAGATAAAAGTAGAACAGTGGGTGAAGGCCTTTCCACACTCGGTGCACACATAGGGCTTCTCCCCAGTGTGGATCCGCTGGTGCCGCTTGAGGTATGACCTGTGGTTGAAGGCCTTGCCACACTCGAGGCACTCGAAGGGCTTCTCCCCAGTGTGGATGACATAGTGGTGAATGAGGGCTGCGCTCTCGCAGAAGGCTTTCCCACACTCACTGCACTCGTAGGGCTTCTCCCCAGTGTGGGTCTGCTGGTGCCACATGAGGTATGACCTGTGTTTGAACACCTTGCCACACTCGAAGCACTCATATGGATTCTCGCCACTGTGGATGATGTAGTGGCGAATGAAACCCGGCCTATCTCGGAAGGCTTTTCCGCATTCTTTGCACACAAAGGGTTTTTCTCCAGTGTGGCTCCTGTTATGCAAAACAAAAGTGGAGCGGTGGGTGAAGGCCTTTCCACACTCACTGCATTTATAAGGCTTCTCCCCACTGTGAATCCGCTGGTGTTGCGTCAGGTGTGACTTGCGGTTGAAGGCCTTGCCGCACTCCATGCACTTATAGGGCTTCTCCCCAGTGTGGACCATGTGGTGCTGCAGGAGATAAGTGCTCTTACTGAACGTTTTCCCACACTCTGTGCATTCATAGGGCTTCACTCCAGAGTGAATCCTCTCATGTCGCGCAAGGAGGCGTTTCTTGTTAAAAACTTTCCCGCACTCGTTGCATTTGAAGAGATTTTCCTCGTCCTGAATCAGGGGACCTTTATCTGATCCACCGGCGGCACGGTCATGGACAGCACCCCCTGGAGGGACTGGCTCCTCTATGACCCCTGAACACACACCACCAGCTGTCCCTAAGCTGCCGTGTTCACAGCTTGGCTTCCCAGGGAGCTTCCCCTTCTGGGGTTGTGTCTCTGGTCTCAAGTGTCCTTCAGGCCTTTCCAATGGCTCTTCTGGATCATTGATTTGGCCCAACTGGGACTCCTCTGAAACTCTTTGTGTTAGCTGTTCCTGGACTGAGGCTCCCTCAAACAGGGATGGCTCAGAAGTGGTAGATTCTCTGGTCTTGGGTTTTCCTTTGTCACCTAAAAGAAATTCAATATACAAAAAACCTGTTAATAATGCCAGCATGGAAGATCACTATTTTAATGTAAAAAATGAAGATGAACATAGTGCCTCTGTGTCTGCCATGTTTCCCTACCTCTGAATCCCAGGATAACAATTTATTTCTTTCCTGACCTTGGATTGTTAAAACCTTGAAAGAGAGAGCCAGAGGAGTGACTGTGTGAGGGGATGGGGTGCTGGAAAAAGACTCACTCAATTCCAGACTGGACATTTATGCAAATAAATAACTCATGTGGGTCCAGATAGTTTATGCTGATGAGATGAATCAGTTCAAGGCCTGAAAGACAAATTATGTGATCAGAAGGCTGAGGTTTGAACCATAAGGTAACAACTAAGAAACAGATAGAGGGAAGGCAGGACACCAAGTCACACAAGCACTGATTCAATCAGCTGTGTTTATGTAATGAGAGTCAGTGGAATTCTTATGTTGGCAATACCCCATGCATATATTGCCACACATCAATGCCAAGAGGCTAATGAGTCTGACGATGTGGTAGCTAATGTTTGGAAGCCCTCTAAAATCTGTAAAAAGAAAAAAAAACCTATTGCAAACTGATTGGACAAAGACTTTGCAACAACTAACTTAAAAAAGCTCAAGGAGCTAAAGAAAGATACAGAGAAAGTCAAGAAAACTAGGTAAAAACAAAAAGGAACTATCAATACAGAGAAAGAAAATCTAAAAAGAAATGAAAAAGAGGAATTCCCTGGACGTTCAGTAGTTAAGACTCCAAGCTCTGTCAGGGACCCAGGTTCAATCCCTGGTCAGGGAATTAAGCCACACACTGCAGTCAAAAAAAAAAAAAAAAGAGAGTGAAAGACATGAGAAAGAAATTCAGGAGCAAAGCCTTCATTAACTGAAGTGAAAACCTCACTAGAATGATTCAAATAAAAATCTGCATAGGAAGAAGAAACAATCTGCCAAGTTGAAGACAGAATAATGTTAAGTATTGAGTCTAACAAACAGAAAAAAGAAAAAAAAACAGTGAGTAGAACCTAAGTGACCTGTGTTATACTTAATGAACCGACATACTCACTGAGACATTCCCAGAAAGACATGAGAGATAGGATCAAAGAGAATATCTGAAGAGCTGAAAACATCCCCAAATGGATGAAACATCCAAGAAGCTCAATGAATTCCAAGAAAAATAAACTCAGACACACACTGAGGAAACTGTAATCAATCTTTTGTAAGCCAAAGAGAAAGTATAGCAAGTACGAAGCAACTTGTTATATACAAGCAGTTCTCAATAAGATTATCAGATTTCTCATCAGAAACTTGGGAGGCCAAAAAGCAGTGGCTCAAAACAAAGCGGTGTAACACAAAGAAACAAAAAGTGTCAAGTAAGAATCCTATATCTGGCAAAACTGTCCTTCAAGAGAGTGAGGAAGAAATTAAGACATCCCAATATACAAAAGTTGAAGGAGTTTGTTACCACTGGATCTGCTCTGTAAGAAATTCTTCAGGGAGGCTTCCAGGTGAAATGTAAGATAAGTAATTCTTATCTTACAGTAAGACAATAACGCAGTAAGACAGTAATAATTACAGTAAGACAGTAATTCAAAGCCATATGAAGAAATAAAGAGTTTATAATAGTAAATACATGGGCAGTTTAAAAGATAGTATTATTTTGTAACTCCACATTGTGTATTTACATGATTTAGAAGATTGTTTTATAAACTGGTTAATCTAAAGGCTTGTATCATTGTAACTTTAGTTTATAAGTCCATGTGTAGTTTCCTAGAAATCTAAGACACTAATGCATTTAAAAGAATTAGTAGTTTAAGTTTCTAGGCATACAACATATAAAGATGTCATTTTGTGATACAAACACTTAAAAGAGGTAATGACAGAGCTGTACAGGATTTTTGTCGTTACTGAAGTTAGACTGGTATAAAATCATGTGAACATTAAAACTTTAATACATTCATCAAATATAATCCCATGATAACCACAAATAGCTAGAGAACATATGCAGAAGGAAATGAGAAAGGAATTTAAATGTTTCACTACAAAATATCAACTAAACAACAGACTATAAAGCAAGAATGAGAAACGAAAAACTATAATACATGTAGAAATTAAATATCAAAATGACAGAAGTCTCTCCATATCAGCAATCACTTTAAATGTAAATGATTAAACTCTTCAAGTAAAAGGCAGAGATTAGCAGGATTGATAACACATGATCCAACAATATGCCTTCCACCAGAGACTCACATTAGATACAAAGACACAGACTGAAAGTCAAAAGGTGGAAAAGATTCTATGCAAATACTAATAAAAAGAGAGCAGAGGTGGCTACATTAAAATCAGACAAGACAGACTTTAAATCAAAAAAAGATTACAGGCAACAATGAAAGATATTATATAAGTAAAAGATATAATAAAGCAAGAAGACATTAAAATTGTAAACAACTACATAATGAGAGATCAAAATACATGAACCAAAGAATCGAAGAATGGAAAAGAGTAAGAGACGACACTACAAAAAAAGATGGAGACTTTAACATCCTACTCTCAATAATGGAGAGAAAAACCAGACAAAGGATAAGTAAAGAAACAGAGGACTTAACATAATCAACCAACTAGATCTAACAGCTACATACAGAACATTCTACCCAACAACAATAACATACACATTCTTAAGTGTTCATGGGACATTTTCCAGAACAGACCACAGTTAAATCACAAATTCTCATCTCAATAGCTTTAAAAAGATATCAAACAAAGTATGATTTGTTTCTAATGAAAATGAAAAAACATACCAAAACTTACAGGATGCAGTGAATGTGGCTGTTAACAGGGAGGTTTGTAGCTATAAACAGTTTCAGTGAAAAACGAAAAGATCTCAAGTCAACAGTCTAACTTAACAACTTTAGCAGGAAAAGAAAGAGAAATAAACCCAAACCTAGCAAAAGGAAGGGTGTATGAAAGATTAAAGATAAATAGTACACAGAATTAAAAAATAGGAAAGTATCAATGAAACAAAAAGTAATTCTGGAAAAGATCAACAAAATTGACAAACCTTTAGCTAGATGAACTAAGGAAAAAGGAAAAGAAAAAAAAACCTCAAAATACTAAAATCTGAAATCAAAATGGGGACATATACTGTTGATCCTACAGAAATAAAAAAGAATATAAGTGAATACTGTGAAGAACTATATACCAACAAATTGGAATATCCAGATGAAATGAACATATTTCTAGAAACACGAAACCTGTAGAGACTAAATCATGGAGAAAGAGAAAATCTGAATAGGTCTATAAGCAGAAAGAGACTGAATTAGTAATCAAAATCTCCCAGCAAAGAAAAATCTTGGAGACTTGACGGCTTCACTGGTCAGTCTAACCAAACATTTTTTTAAGAAGCATTAAGACCAATTCTCAAAGTCTTCCAAGAAAACCAGAGGAAGGAAACACTCTCACACTCCTTCTGAGACCAGTGCTACCCTAATCCCAGAGAGAAGCGCACTGCAAGACAACCGCACAGCAGGGCCCCCTGGCGGCTGGGCGGCTAGGAGCCCGCCGTGCAGAGCAGGGGCTGCGGGCTCCCGGCCGGGAAGCTGGGCCCGCGCGCGCCGCAGTGACTGAGCCCGCGCGCCACAGGGCTGTGCCGCAACTGCGGACCCTGCAGGGCTCAAAGACCCTTCATCCCTAAGGCCCGACACACCAAGTAAGTAATTACACGTGAGAAGGAGGAAAGAAATATCCCTTAGGAGCAGGATGCAAAGATCCTGACAAAAGAGCAGCAAAACAAATTCAGTAGCACGTCAAAAGGGTCATATACCATGACCCATTGCAGTTTACTCCAATAATGGACAGAAAACAGAAAGCAAGATAAAAGCCCTGTTGATCACCTCAATTGATACTGTAAAAGCTTGGACAGAATTCATGATTAAAATTAAAAAATCCACAAACTAGAAATAGAAAGAAAGTACCTGATCATATGACAGACTTTTATTTTCTTGAGCTCCCAAATCACTGCAGATGGTGAGTGCAGCCAAGAAATTAAAAGACGCTTGCTCCTTGGAAGAAAAGCTGTGACCAACCTAGACAGCATATTAAAAAGCAGAGACATTACTTTGCCAACAAAGGTCTGTCTAGTCAGAGCTATGGTTTTTCCAGTAGTCATGTATGGATGTGAGAGTTGGACAATAGAGAAAGCTGAGTGCTGAAGAATTGATGCTTTTGAACTTTGGTGTTGATGAAGACTCTCGAGAGTCCCTTGGACTGCAAGGAGGTCAAACCAGTCAATCGTAAAGGAAATCAGTCCTAAATATTCACTGGAAGGACTGATGTCGAAGCTGAAACTCCAGTACTTTGGCCACCTGATGCGAAGAACTGACTCACTGGAAAAGACCCTGATGCTGGGAAAGATTGAAGGCAGGAGGAGAAGGGGACAACGGAGGATGAGATGGTTGGATGGCATCACCGACTTCACGGACATGAGTTTGAGCAAGCCCTGGGAGTTAGTAATGGACAGGGAAGCCTGGTGTGCGAAGTCCATGGGGTCGCAAAGAGTCAG